AAAAGCAAACATATTAAGCACACATACATTTACCGAGCAACAAACAACATTCATCCTTACTTAGTTGTTGCAGAGGCCCGACTTATGTGTGCACAAAAAGACAAAGTTATAATATAAACACAAGTACAATGTATATTCCGAGAATGCATAAGAGAAATTGTTAGATACTTACGATGTATTGCTTCATGGAGAGCAATACAACGAAAATATTGAAAATTTTCTTCATGTATAGTTTTTCGTTAGTGTTCCTCATTAATCTATTCGTGTTTAACCGATCTTTTGCATTATCAAATTTATGAGGGTTTATTTTATTAAGCCTAGAGGATGCCGTCCGCTTTCATTGCAACAATAAAGGGTATTGAAAGTGTAACTGCAAGGAGTACCTAGAAGGGGTGCAAAACAAGATTTCTACCATCACCTCGGTATTTATGTTACTAAAGTTGATTTTCTTATTTCTCAATTTCACTCCATAGGTATATGATACTATATTTGGTCAACTTAAATCAAGCTAATAAGGTCAAACCTACTCGATACTACTCCGTAACACCCCGACCTAGGACCTAAATAAGTCAAGGATACTACCGATGATGTCTCATATTTCTAGTGTAATGAATGCAAGACATTTAGCCTCATCTACTTTTCAGTCCAATTATTTATAATTCGTAGTGGAATCCCAATAAATACAATGAATTAGGTCCATACTTCATTAAAAATTAAGTATAAAATTTTTCCAACATAACTTCATTTCATAACAATACTCTTAAATAAATTATATAGATTTATTAAATCTCAAAATATGATAAAAAATTTACATTTATAAAATTCATTTTAAATATTAAAATTTTTTTTAATTAAATTAAACTAATTTGTGTCTTGAATTGTTCTCAAATAATTTTATAAAATTCAAAATTAATTAAAATATTTAATATATAAGAAATAATCAATTTGTCCTAATATATTAAATTCCTATTATTTTCTATTGAGAATCGAATTAATTATAAAATAATCAATTTAATTGGAAAATAATCAATTTGCTTTAATTTAATCAATCAAGCATTAAATTAACTTATAACTTAATTTAATAATACTTCAATGTAATGAAAATCCTTTTGATTGGAAAATCAACTAATTAATTCAATTAAAACCTTAATTTAGCCTAATTGGAAGCTAAATTTTTATATGGATTAAACCATTGAAGACAATTTTTAAGTTTAGTAAACTTTAGTTCCAATTAATTAAAATCATGATAATTAAATTTAATCAATTAAATCCAATTAATCCTTATCTATTAAATTCAATTTATTCACTTAACCATTAAATTCAATTACTTCTTACCAATTAAATCTAATTATTTCTTGCCAATTAAACTCTAGCCATTAAGACAATTAAATCCTCAATTTATAAATTCTAATTGGCTTTAATTTATTTAGTCTAGTCATTAATTGATGGCATAAACCCCTCTAATTAGTTAGAATTAAAAATACACACACATACACATACACACACAAAATTTAATATTTAGGGTGAGTTATACCATCTTTTACATGCTAAAAGTGCTAAATATAGCACATATATATTAAGTCCAAAACATAATATAAAAGGAAAGAAAATGTCTTCTCACTTACACTTATAATTAAGCACACACTCGGCACGTCCGACGCTCCTCAACATTGATCTATCATTTAGTACTTTTCTTGCCTACACCATTAGAAAATAGAGGTGAGCGATGCTTAGTAAATGTAGCCCATCATGTAATGGATTAAAAACTCTTTTCACACCTTTTTAATTCATTTTCTTTTTTTTTCTAGCACATCCCGACAATTGTGTAATTAATCGACCTCTTTTTAAAATATGCATTTATGAAAACTCATAAAAGCACTAGATACCTTTCATTTTCCCTTTCCTTTAACTCACAAAAGCACTAGATACTTTTCCTTTTTCTTTTCCTTTACCTCACAAGAGGGTGATAATTCCTCTTGCAATCTTTTTAACTAGCTATTTCCTTTGAAAACATGTCCTTTTCCTTTTCCTTCATCAAAATCATGAAAGAAAATCCTTTTTCATTATAATGATATGAAAATACATTCAAATGAAATGCATTACCTTAGCCTTTACCATGATCATCATGCTTAATTAATCAAGTGTATATGTAAACTATTTTTTCAAACATAAACATGTACCAAATAATCAAAGCAAGCATGAATTAACAATAAATCAACTAAACGAGCAAGAATCATAAATCCAAGTACTTGGTCGAATTTTACCTAAAGAATTCCTTTCCATATAACCAAGCACAATTCAATCACAAAACACATAAATTTATACTTGAACATTAATTTAAATATCCATTCACCTTACTTTTTATAAATTAGGCAAGTAATCCAATTTGGTTGAATTATTCATGTTACCTAATAAGGTGAATTCTTTCATTTAATTACTTATTGTCATGCTAGTTCATTATTTTAAACCATAAAACACATTAAACATTAACCAATTTAATCACCCTTAATCCTAGGGTTTTTGGCCTAATATTCTCATAAAATATTCAACCCTAAAAATTCATCAAATTTCACAATCAAGCATATTTGGACGCAATCAATTCATATGTAAATGTCTACTTACCCAATTACACAATTTAACCCAATTAATAAAACATCTAGGGTTATGTCTGAAATTTTCATTAAAGGTAATCAACTTTAATTTTCCAATTCAAAGAAATCAATTTCAAAATGTCTTCCTTATTTGCTTAATAACAAGGGACTCATAAACAACAACCGGAAGGAATCATGAAACTAGAGCCTAATGCTTTCCTAGTTATATTTGTAAAGATTCCATGGTGAATGGTACTATGCCCTTATCATAAAAGCTTTAGATTCTCGTAAGTCGTTCATCCTATATTCCAAAGATAATGATCGTCTGATCATAGAGAATGGTCTTGATGTAAGTTCTTAGACAAGCAATGAAAACAATTTGATTATAGTCTTACAAAAACAATAAATTCTTCAAATGGATGGAAAAAATTCAAGCTAAATGTAGTCATCACTGGATTCAAAGTAGCATTTTTGATTTTATTCAAGCCACAAACTAAATCAACCATTACTCGAGGCTATATCAATTTTATAGACAAAATCAAGCAATATGTTCATTTTCTAATGGAGGATGGTGATTCCCAAATTACTAGATTTAGGCATGATTCTTAGTGTGAACCCTCACAAGGAAGAGGTCAGCACCACCACAAACATCAGAGAGCCAAGATATGAGAATTTGGTTATTTGTCAAGCATACAATGCCTTTCAGAGTGCTGAGCACAAGCAAACCAAACATGTTGACGAGCTTATGTCATTCATCATGTTCACACTCATGCAAAATAACTGGTAGTATGGATATGCAAGTATCTGGTATGTCTACACTTATGCAAAATGGTTAAAAATTTTATGAAGTTGGCAATACTTCTCGCTTGTGGAACTTTAATAGCCATAAGGCTATTCATTGTCACTACAAGAAAACTAGAGAATAGCGACAAATTTAAGCAGTATTATGGTTTGTCACTAAATAGCCTATTTACTCTCGTCGCCAGTTGTAAAAAAGTGGGCGTCCATTTGGAATTGATCAGTTGCTCATTTTACAAAGGATTAGTGGCAGAAACTTACATTCATTACTAAATAATGATAGACCAGTGACATGATTGCATACATCGCTAGTCTAAATTCTTAATTTAACCTCTTTTCCCTTCTTGTTCTTCCAACTTTTCCTCTCTAGCCACCGGCTCTTCTACCACACAAAATCATCAAATAACTATACTCTTGTACTCCCCATCAATCCACACCCACTCCAAATTCTTTTCTCCCTAAAAACCCCACTTTTCCTTCCTTCCTTTCTCTCTCTCTCTTGTTCCTTAAAAATTAGTTACTTCCATAATTATTAGGTTAATTTTAAATTTAATTGGTTTATTTATAATTTTGTATAGTTTTAATTGTTATTTTTTATTAATTTATTAAATTGATATTTTTGTTAATTGATAGGTTAATTTGTTAATTAATTGTTAGTTTGATATAGGTTTAATTAATTAATTATATTAATTTTGATTAATTGGTTGATTTTATTTAGGTTTAATTAAGTAATTAGGCTAAATTTGATTAATTGTTAATTTATTGATTAATTTGTTAACTTGTTATTTTTTAGTAATTGTTAAGTTAATTTTTTTATTAATTGTTAGTTTGATTAATTAATTAGGTTAATTTTGATTGATTAGTTGATTTTATAAAGGTTTAATTAATTAATTAGATTAAATTTAACTAATTGGTTGATTTGATTTAGGTTTAGTAAATTAATTACATTAAATTTGATTAATTGTTAATTTGTTAATTAATTTGTTATTTTTTTAATTGTTAGGTTAATATGTTTATTAATTGTTAGTTTGATTTAGGTTTAATTAAATAATTAAGTTAATTTTGACTAATTGGTTGATTTGATTTAGGTCTAATTAATTAATTAATTAATTAATTAGGTTAATTTTGAAGCAAAAACGATCTAACTTGGTAGGAAAATGAAATTCGTTAATAATTTTCATTCATCATATTACTCCTACTTTGGCGGAAGTTGCATACCTGTTATACATTCCTTCTTTCATATATATACAATTCATAATTAGTCAATGAAAGGAGAAGGTCACGTAAAACCTCTCAAATTTTTACATGCTAGCTGTCCCACCAGACATTTTTACGTTATGCCAACACATGCAACTCATATCTGTCATCAATAAAACTCGCTAATGCGAACTACTAAACATGATATTTTAGGCAATAAGCCCTGATCTTTCTCTCTAACTAATTCTTCTAACCTCTCTCTCTCTCTCTCTATATATATATAAACACACACCTTAATTTTTCCAACACCCATACTTTTAATGCAAAAAACATTGTTCTTGTAAGCAATTAGAAAAGTTAAAAGAGAGAAATAAGAAACTGATTTTCTTTTCCCTCTTTTGCGCGCTAGAGAAAATGATGAAAGATATGAAATACATGCAAAGATGGGGGGATGTTGCACCAGCACTTCTGATATCTCGGCAAAGATCACGTTCATCTGCTCCGAAATTGGAGACCATTGTCGAAGAAGGATCTGGGAACTTTCGAGCTGCGGGCGTGCCCAAGAGAATGTTGTTTCTTCTTCCTGTTTTTGTTTCTTTAGGCTCCTATTTCTTGATGCATAGACGTTGTTTGAGGTGAATACATAATTATATACACATGTCATGATTTTGTAACTTTGTTATCATACTAAATAGCATGATGTATTGAATTTGGAAGATGAATATATATATATATGCTCAAGTTTATGACTTTTATCCTTTATGAAGTCATAACTTAGTTGAGCATTTTTATTCTTCAAACATAATTTTAGTTTTATGTTACCACCTTCTTCTCATTAAAAATCTTGATGCTGAATTCTAACATCCTTGTTTGTGAATGGTAACCCACTTGACTACAATCTCTTTTCTAATTCAAGAAACCTCATTATAATGGCTTTTTTATATTTTGTTCTCAATCATCCACATCAATATGAGTACTTTAATCATCCTCGTGTGCATTAAATTCGATAAAACATGATTTTCCATAGCTATTAAAATCTCAAAGAAAAGAAACCAAGTAAACGAAATGAAATTGACAAGAGTAGAAAAGCTTTATTAATTGCTAAAAAGATTGTGATATTTTGAATGAAAAACCCTGTAATAGAAGATCTCCAGGATATATATATATATACATATATATATATATATATATATATATATATGGTAAATTTGTACGCCTTATAAGTGCATTAAAATTTATTGTAGAGAGTAATGAATGAGTGCCGCTTAACGAAAGTAGGAAATCTCCTAGTTCTACAGTATTAGGAAATTATTATCCGGCTTATTGAAAGATAAAAATATGAAATTTATACATTTTTTCGATACTTTTTTAAAAAAATAAATAAAAAATATATGAACTAAATTTTCAATAGTCATTGTAGCTCGAGAAGCATTTTTCATTCAAAATTCATATGATGTGACATGACATTTACGATGTAATTATAGATTACAATCTATATAGTGTGACTATACAATTTCTTTCTAATGTACGACATGTCACCCATTAATTCTCATTTGATTTTAAAAACAAATTTCACAAAATAAAACTAAATCAATTAATAAAAATCTCTAATATTCTTTTCTTTTCTCCTCGACAAACAAGAACGCTTGGCTCCAAATTTAGCAACGAAGTCTGATTTTAATTGGTTTAGACGACCACATATTGCCGTTAGATACCTATAACCATGGTTGCCCCTTATCTATTTGTTAAGCATAAGCTCAGGTTTTGACCAAAACACAAACCTAACGAACAGAACTTGGTAATTTTCAATATTGTTGACAGAATAATCAATTTGTTTCTTGGCTATTATAGGTGCACACATCATAGGTTTTGCTCAATGCTTCACCTTCAAGAGGAGGCTCTTTGACTTCAAAGGCACCGACAAGGCTGACGTCACACTTGATTCTTCCGTTATGACAACCTTATACGCTCTGTGTCCAAACAAGAATACATCAAACAACAATCTTGGTCCTCTCAACTCGGCAAGCACGTACCAATTTGACAATTCTTATTAGGTGAACCTCGTGAATAACGCTGCCCTTCATGAATCTGATCAAGCTCTATGGGGGATTCAAAGACTACTGTAATTGCTGCTCCCTAGAGTTCAAATTCGAATCTTTTCTCAGCTAATTTTGCAGCATCAATGATGAAGCTTAGCGATCTTGGGATACTGACAGGGAGCAATGGGTAAATTAGAAAGAAATGCGATTCTGTTAACGAAATATATATGTAATGCGTGTGAAGAGGAATGGGTATTGTGACGAAGAGGAATGAGTACTGGTTGAAGATTCGTGGTTGGAGAAAGTGATTTTTGCTTATCAAACAGATAAAAAAAAAAAAAATTAAGAATTTTTATGAATTGATTTAACTTTGTATTGTGAGAATTTGTTTTTCGAATCAGACGAGGATTAGTGGCCAACAAGTTATCCATTAGAAGAAAATTTTAATTTTTAATCAAGTGTCATCTTATGTGAGCTATAATATAGAGTTTTTTTTTTTTTTTAAATTAGGATATTTTTAAATCTTTATTCTTTAAATAAGGTAGTTTTAAACTTAATTCTCAAACTAGATAATTTTTTGCCACATAATATGTTTTCATCCACGTTACTTTTTTTTACCGCAATCAATTGTCCTCTTTTCGATGTTAAGCATGATTTGTAACTTCTTAATTCCATAACCAATTACCATCAATTTTAATATTTTTTTTAAAAAATATATATCTCAATGATACAAACTACCTTTTTCCAAGAGACCCACGGGAGAAGAAAGAAGTGAGAAGATTGGACTAGATCCGTACGATCCAATAAACTAGCTAGAAAAAGATTCGTGAGTCGAGTCTATGACCTCCTTTGCATCCATGAAAATATATGATGCCCAAAACTCATCTTTCCATGGCTTAGCGTGGGTATAATTGGACACACCGGTGCTCTATTTGATGCCCCAAACTCATCTCTTTTTGTGAAGATTCTTGTGATTGAGATCTTCGGTGGTGCACTCGGGTTGTTTGGATTGATTGTTGGAATTATTATGCTTGCAAGATCGGTGCAATTTGTTTTTCTTATCGAGTGCAAAATATTAGTTATGATAAAGTCCAAGTACATGCTTGTGTAACCTAAATGAAATTTGTATTTTATTCATTCAATGGTAGTCGACTTGTAAAAACTCAAGTGGAAATTTATTGCTCTCTTCTAATCTTTAAAAAAAGAAAAAAAGGATCCAACATGGAATGCGTTAAAATAAGCTTTTTTGTTATTGGGTTTGTGTCTTGCTATGATGCTCGGCTTAGTTTTCTCTTTTAGCCACTCTTCTTTAGTACTTCATGTTGGATTCCTTCTAATAATTACAGCTACCCTTTTCTTGCTTCTTGGCTGGTTTCTTTCATATATTGGTTTGGATTCAATTGAACATCATATGCAAGAAATGGATTTGGTGCCAATAAATCTGGAGATAAGCACAAAGAGAAGTGACGTTTTTCTTAATACATGAATCAAATTAAAAGTGACAAGCATAGGAAAGAAAGGATATTTAAGTCTTTACCTCATCACCATCTAAAGGAAAAGATAGTTACAATATTCTATATATTCATTTAGAGAGAAATAGAGTACGTGAAAAAGCTTTATCCGTAAAGCTTGAAGCGAGATCCGAAAAAATAGAGTTAAATTATTTGATGACATGTATATCTATGTGTCAATAAATACCCATTTTGATAAATAAGTTTAAACATACCCTATTTTGGTAATAAAGATTTAAAAATACCCTATTTCTCATTATGGCATTCTCGCATGTCATATGAACTCAAAATTTTGGATAAAAAATAATTCTCATAATAAATGGTTACTAAAAACTTAATTCATGTATTTTCTATCAATTTTTGAAAAAACATGTCAAAATGATTAAAAGATATAAAGTTTATACTTTTATGGTATAACAAGCCTTATTATCCCTTCTTTTAATATTTGACACTTTTCTTGGTGTTGCTATTCCATCTTGATGTCAACCATATTGCTTTCTATAGAATCCTAAATATACTGCTAATAGATCATTTGCTTGTAAATGATGACACCTTATCGAGAAATCAATTTATTTTATTTTATTTTATTTGCAAAATTAGAATAGTAAACATATGCATCCTCATTATTATTAAATGATCGTGATATATAAGAAAAACAATCAAATCAATAGTCTTTTTGTTCAATATGCTAAATCTAAAGGTTTTCCACGTCGTATTTGCTTAATCTCCTCATCATAACTTCTTTGTGAAATACAACGATCGATATCTCTATATGAACAAGTTTTTGTAGATGGCAAGCCATCAAATACGTCATTGAACACTTGTGTTGGCATCTAAATACAAAAACAGAGCGAAATAGCTCACCATCACTATTTTTTTTAATGAATTTAATGCCATATAATGTCAATAATTTTATAATGGAATTCAAAATTGCTCTTTGGTACAACAATTTAATGTAATTCTTTTATTAATAAATTCCTAAATTGAAGAACTCTAATTGAAATTCAATATAAACAATAGAAATAAGGGTATAAATCAAATATAGTATCCAAGAAATGAAACGTAATTTCCCTCGACTCTTAAATTTCTATTTTCATTCCTTATTATACAGAAAGTTTCGGATGAAATATAATATTTAAGAAAATGACAAGCTTGATAAAAGGAGAGGGAAAGATTCAGAGACCAATTTTTTTTTGGTGCTTTCTATTTCTTATTCCTCCAAAGCTAAACACAAGTGAGTAAGAGTTCAAAAGTAACATGTAAAGATTGTTTTTTAGCCCTATTTACTATTTGGATATTTTTACATTTAGAATTTTACAATACAAAGGGCAAATGAATATCTCTATTTCAATTTTTTTCCCTTTTATCGCAAGGCTCATCAACCTTCTTCTAGTCGAGAAGAACTTCTAGGAATGCTACTTGATTTCAATTTTCGTATCCATCACACAACAATACCTTTGTCCTCTAGCATTTGGGCTTCGGTTCATTCCCCAAATTAGTGCATGTAATAAATATATAATAAAATATTAACAAATTTATGATTAAAATAACATTTATCCGATAGTAGTTTAACTAGATCAATAGATAGTGATAAATTTCACAATCCAAGTGTCAAGATAATCTCTCACTTGTTTTGCTCTTTTGTAGAGAGTCTAAAACTTAATTTATATTTCTCTACTTTTTTTGGGTACTTCATCCTTGTTTTTCTAGATATATGGAAACCGAAGGGGAATAACTTCTCCTGCAACTACATTGTAGTTGCTTGAAATTTTAATTTTTTATTTTAAATAATTTTTTTTGTTAGATCAACCCATCATGGATGACCAAACCTAATTTTTTTATTTTTTTTAACCTCTCACACTTCCATATAATGGGTTAGACTCGACGTAAGGCTTTCTATAATATTGATAACAAAACAAAAAGGTACAATTTTATACTAGCAAATAAATTGTGCGACCTAGCAAGCATTCTTGCAATTTGGGAGCTTATTACTATACATCTATTAGGAATAATATAGTAACTACCATATAATATTAATAAATGACGTACGAGATATTATATATCGTAAATCTTACAATACCTTAGATAATTCCTTGTATTTAATATCTCATTATGTCAAATTCCTCAATCGACATATAGTCCAATATCATATTGTATATCCATAATTATGTTCACACTACTCTTAATCATTGTTTTTTTCAAGTGATATAATTGGTCGGCCAATGAATATACATAGCACATCTTTTTTCTTACTCAAAATTTTTAATTCAGAACTAGACTACTTTTCTAGACTAGTTCTATAGATCAAATTATACATTATCATAATTAACTAGCTAAGATAGCATACACCAAGCACAAGCAAGGATTCATTCTCCCACTATCTTTATTGCCATATTAATACACGTGGTATGAATCACATCATATAGTGTTTTCAATTGTTACAACTTATATGCACTCGTACTTGGACTTAGTTTAGTCATCAAACACAAACAACTAATTAGAGTTTTGAAGGGATTTTCTCTTAGTAGGCATTATCATCGAGATCTCAAATTTGGTTTTCATAGGTTATTGGATCGGGCTTTTCAAATCGATTGTAAAATATATATTGGTTTATAATGTCACTTAATTTTACATTAATATGATACTTTCTTAATCTTATCTCTACTCTACTCACTCTCACTAGTGTTAGAGGAGTTTACCTCATCTCTACTTGCTCTCAACAATACCGGGGATGATTGCTCGTGTGATAGAGCCAATCTAAACTTGTATAGCTTTTAAAGTTGGTTGATCTTTATCATAGCAACATGCATATAATATATATATATATATATATATATATATATATATATATATATATATATATATAAGAGAACATAAAATTGCATTAATAAAAGAAATAGTACAATATACAAGTCCAATTGTTCATTATTATAACAAAGTTACAATCTACATATTCCAAGAGATTTAACATATCCAAGATACACATCTCTTGGTATGGGTTTTGTTAGAGGATCTATTATCATTTGATACATAGATATATACTATACTGACATTTTTTTATTATTGATAATGTCTTTAATGTAGTTATACTTAATGTCAACTTGTTTGATTCTATTATGGTACTCAAGATATTTGGTATAAGCAATAGTTGTCTAGTTGTCATAATAGACTATAACGAGCCCTAAGCTATCATCATTAATTTCCAAATCCTTAAGAAATCTCTTTAACCAAACTATTTTTTACACAATAGCTGAACATGCTATAAATTCAACCTCTATTGTAGATAAACATATATAGGTCCGTTTCTTACTTCTTTAAGATAGAGTGTAATAGTTTTCTGGTTGTCATAATAGGCTATAATAGGCCTTAAGCTATCACCATTAACTTTTAAATCCTTAAAACATTTATTCAATCAAACTACCTCTTACATAACAATTGAACGAGGCTATAAATTCAACTCTATAATAGACAAAACTATGCAAGTTTGTTTCTTACTTATCCAAGATATAGTGTCATTATCGAGTAGGAAAAAAAGAGGCAAAAGTGGATTTGCATTCATCAAGGTCTCGTCACCAATCGGTATCTAAGTACCTAGTCATATGTAAGTTGTTCCCTCAATAACACAAAAAATAATCCATAGTACCCTTGAGATATCCTAAGATCCTTTTCACAACCTTCCAATGCTTTCGACTAGGATTCGAATAAAATCAACTAACTCGATCAACAAAAAAATATATAGCTATGTAAGCATACATCGTTGCATACATAAGGCTTTCAATTTCACTTGAATATGGCACTTTAGACATTTTTTTTGTTCTTGTGTGGAGTTTTAGAAATCACAACTTAAAGCCTCTTTTTCTTTCTTTTTTGAAACAGGAATGTCCACATACTTATAATTATCAATATAGAAGCATTTTAGAGCTTTCAAGATATAATACTCTTGTGATAGTGTCGGAAAGTTTTTCAAATGATCTCTAATGATCTTGACTTCTAAAATATAGTTTTCCTCACCCATGTTTTTCATGTGAAAATTCATAAATAACGAGTACCTTGATAGATATGATAAAATCTTTATAATTCCTAGCAATCAAAATATCATCAAAATATAGAGATAGGATTGAAAAATTCTTGTTAGTTCTTTTAACATAAACACAATGATCTTCTTCAATCATTTTAAAATCATAAGTTATTATTATCTTATGAAAAAAAAGTTACTATTGTCCGGATGATTGTTTTAAACCATAGATAGATTTTTAAAGCTTAAAAACTTTATGTTTT